TTTTTTTTTTTTTTTTTTTTTTTTTTTTTTTGTTTGTTTGTTTGTTTGTTTGTTTGTTTGTTTGTTTGTTTGTTTGTTTGTTTGTGAATCATTCTCGAATCTCAATCATTGTACTTCACTCATCTAGTTGTCTCGGGATTCAAACTCAGGTCTGCCTTTCAACCGTTCATGGGTGTACCAACTGAGCTAGGTCCATTGGTAATCCACCCCACCCCCACCCCACCCCTTTTTTTTTTTTTTTTTTTTTCTCTTTTTTTATAATGCTGACGCCAACCTTTATCATGTGTTGATGTCGACAATATAGCTGGAGCGTACAGCCCTCCATTCTTGGGCCGATCATCCGCATGTCAATCTCCCATCTTTTTTTGAATCTCTGGGGATTATCCACGCGTATGACGCATTTTTGTAGGGACTCTGAAAGAGTTATGGCTCCCAGAGATTCAAAGAGCAACCCAGAGAGCCCAAGGGCCCTTCTTTGGCCGATCACCCACCTGCGTGGTTCTGTTTGCTCCAGTTCGGTCAGTGTGCATGAGCCGTGAAAGGCAAAAGCTGAGGAGTTATGTCAGCAGCTCGCGACTCATGCTCTGGAAGGCGAAGGCAGTCCATAACTCTTTCCCCCCGCCTCGAGGGTTTTGTCGTGCTCGCGGGGTTCGTCGAGCTCGAGGGCTTTGTCGTGGTCGTGGGCTTCGTCGAGGGGTTCATGGAGGGGTTCTTCGAGGATCTCCTTAGATCTCTGAAGTAGGCCTGCTACTCACTCCTGCCTGCCTATATGCTGGTGGCAGTAGCGACATGACCCTTATGTGATATCTGATTCGTTGGCAGTTTGTACTCTGACACAAATTTATGGTGGTCTATCCTGTGAAGGTGCTAATTAGAGGGTGAAGGGGGGGGCTCCACTAGAAGGAGGGGGGGACCACCACCTCCTTGTACTAATGTTAGCTTCTGTTTGCGCCTTGACCATCAGCTTCATGCCTTCATGTGCATTGTACATGAACCTGGCCCGCCACGTAGCCCTCGTTCATCCCTCTGACTGGTGGAAAATGTGGGATATAAGGACACCATGACTTTCTGCATTCTGTCCTTCGGGGCATCCGTTAAAATTGGAAAGATACAGAGAAGATTAGCATGGCCCCTGCGCAAGGATGACACGCATAAATCGAGAAATGGTCCAAAAAAAAAAAAAAAAAGACTTTTTGCATTCAAAACTGAATCTTCAGCAGCAACATGTGCCCTTCATGCCTTCATGTGCATTGTGCATGACCCTGGCCCACCACGTAGCCCTCGTTCATCCCTCTGACTGGTGGAAAACGTGGGATATAAGGACACCATGGCTTTCTGCTTTCAAAACTGAATCTTCAGCAACAACATGTGCACGGTACTGCTGCTCCTTTGTCCATTGTACTTTTTTGGGGGTTTTTTTTTTTTTTTTTTTTTT